AAGAAGAGAAGGAAACTTTTGAAGCATGGCTTGTATGCACAGGTGGAAAGCCTATAACCGGGGATCTAGAGTTACGCGAATTCTCAAGAAATGAAAGGCTTACTGTATGTATTCTTTGCTTTGAGCTTTTGTCTATTTTCGCACAATGAAACAATATTAATTCATAATTTTGTTTCAAGGCACATGGTGGTATCGCTGCCATTCTTGCGCGATCAAATAATGAATCCTTGAAAAATCCTTTAGACGTAATATACTATAATTGATAAATACGTGTATGATTTATATTAAGTAATTTTTTTGCGACTAATAGTTTCTCTATACATATAGTTAACAAATCCGCCCAATCTTAACGGCAAAGAATACGCGTATATTCCATGTAGTGGTACAGGATTAAATGTGCACATAAATGGCAATTTTTCTTTATCTAAGGATAGAATGATTATTTTACATAATAATGTCGATGGAAAATGGAATAAGTATATTTATTTTAAAGTTCTCCCACCTTTACATGTTAAATTATTGTGCGAAATTGCCAGAATAAACCATGAGCATTTCAAGGATTCTAATATCAAACCCGAAAATTTCGGTTCATGCATAACCAAAAATTTTTGGCCATTTGGTAAAGTTAAACAGGGTAATTTGTATTATGATTATGCATTAAACGTGCTGCAAAATCTTGGCGAGAGTAAAGTGTTCTGGACAGAAGCAAAAGGAGGTAATTTTGTATCATTAAATGATGCATACTTCTCTGAGGAAAATGATCCTATTATTGCAGATATTCTTGCCGAGTATGGTAATTCAACAGTGAAAGTAGACAAAACCATACTTAACCGATTTAAAGAAGGAACTATAAAGTATAAACCTATTAGCCCTGCAGTTGTCTATGAATCATTACATACAAACAATAATATTTTACAATCAGTCTCGCAAAAAAATCGGTTAATTTTGTTAAAATTTGTTTTACGAGATGAGAAATTATATTCACAACTAATCGGATTGCAATTGGTACCATTAAAAGATTGTTCTTTTGGTAAATTTGGACAACGAACTTATTATATGGAAAATAAAAAAGATCAGGATTTATTTCCAAAATCTGGTCCTTCCCGTTTTATTTGTGATTTAGATGATGAGCTTAACAGGGTTTTTGAGAGTGATAATTTTTCGCGTATTACAAATATAAAGAAACTTGGCCCAGCAGGTGTTCTTGATCTTTTGGCCGAGGAACTTCCTAAAGAACAGGAAATTTGCTTAAATCTTTCTTCACAAGATATTCCTAATTTGGAATGGCTAGATAAAATTTTAGAAAAAATGGAATGGGGCAGCAGATTAAATGATAAGTTATCAGAATATCCACTATTCCCTGTAAAAATTTTATCAACTGGCAAAGTTAAACTTGTTCGAATAAATCCATCAAATCCTTTATTGGTTTATCCGGAGAATCCTGATGAAATTCTTGTGCATACACTTGAAAAAATGGGAATTTGCTTCACGAAAATAAAGCTTAATAATAAGAATACTAAATCAGAGTTTTGGACGAAACGTGTGATTAAATGGGATTATACTAATGCCTTCGAATCTATTAAGAGAAAGCAAGAATCACAAAATATTACCATGGAGTTATTTTTTAAAAATGCATCGTTAAATGAG